CCCAGTCTCCAACCATAGGTTACGATAGTCAGGCGAACCCCAACCAAGTAGTCTGCATCTACCAACATGGCTCCGACTAGAAGTCAGTGACTTCAAGCACTGATGCCACGTTTAGGTTTGGCAAATATGCCCTTACTAATGACTTGGTTGAAAACGATTCCTAAAGAATAAGTAAGAAATCATTGTTGATAGAGTGCTTGTCAAGCTATGTCATGGATGCATTAGAATTGAAAAATCAGATTTCTGAATTAATGATTCAAAGTATCTTCTCTGCCACGGGACTTGGATGTCTTAATTATAACCCTGTGTAGTTCCATGAATACGAACTACTAATTATTCTTAAAAGAATACAAAGCACATGTTTAACGTTCCTCGGGTTCAAAACTTATATCAATTACCTATGATAACCCCCTTCAGGTAGACATAACATCCAGTGAGTAATGAATGAGATTTCTAATTTAAAAAAAACACTGAACACAATTATTTGCTGGGATCGAATATTAAGACTTGAAATCTTTGAAAAAATTATGATGGGATTGATTACATCAGCGAATAACAGGATGGAATTTTACCACGAAAAAAAAATAGAGTGTGGAGTAAATCCAACCACTAAGCGCCAGGGAACGTAGCTGCCTAGGACAATGCTACAACTATTTTCTGATTCCCATTGTTGACTTCCGCTATTCAACTATACAAAACACTGAATTCTCTGAACATGACTGCAGTTATCGTGTAGTTATTAAGAAGGCATTATAAACGTGGTCGGTTGAATGCGATCAGTAACGAAGACAACACTGATTGTAGATAAATCAACTCTACTGTCATTATAATAAGTAACTGATGAACCTCCTTGAAATCTTGAAGCAAATAAGTACCCGCAAAACTACAGATAATCTGTGCTAAAAACTACTACAGAAAGTGATATATGTATCCAAAAACCCTAATGGTTATACCGAAAAGATAAACAATCAAAATAAAGTCATATACTGGCATAATTACTGAGTCTCGAATTTGATAGGTAGGGGCTGATGACTAGAGCTTTAAATATAAATCTCCAAGTATGTGACTAATAGACAGTGGGTTATTACTGTTAGGTCGCCACCGATTTTAATTAAGAACCATTCCCAATAATGGCTGAAGATGCTGAGTCGTAAGGAATTTCATGGAATTTCAATCAATCAGTGATGTTAATCTAATGGGTACTAAAATATCACTAAGGATATTCATTTCTTCCCTGTATTCAAAGATTACAAACGCTCCGTCTCTTCCATCAAGATTTATCGTCAATGAGCGCTTGGTATAGAAACTATCGAAATATCGCGTGTTAAGTTCTCAAGCCAAACACATTTATAGGACATCAACTTAAGCTATACACCTAGCTTTCTCCAGATGTGGTTCACAGCTTGTACAGGACAAGCTGTGAACCACATCTGGAGAAATTCAAACACTATACTTCTACCTGAAGTTTGTGCTGATGATGTCGATCAGAAGAACGATGAAAGCTTCACGACCAAACCATCCAACTCAGAGAACAAAACTCGATCAGAATCATCCACTTAAGATACAAATCTTCCCCACCATATCGCATATAATCTTTGTTTACTTCCTATAATTCGTTTTAATAGATGGTAAGATAATGGTAGCTAATTAGGTTGAACACTTTCGGTTCTTTATGTCTTTCAAACAAACCAGCAAGTTACATGACTAAAATATGCTAAACATTCATGTGGTAACAACGGTAAGGCCGTTCAGCTGCAATGCCTTTTAGTCTACTAATATTTGGATTCCCTCCGGAACCCCATTTCACCGAGTGAATCAGTACCATCTAATTCTGAAATATAAGGAATTTCGGTCCATTTTACTTGAGCAACAGACTGGTTGAATAGTTTTGTCAGAATGCTTCGTCAGACATTCCAAACGAGCTCAATTTTACCAGTACATTAAATCTTGTACTGTTTTCTCCGGTGCAGCAACACTGTTGAAAACATTTCCTGGTACTGATAGTAGTGTGATACCTCTATAGTTTTCACATTTGCTCAGATCTCCTTTCTTTGGTACCTTGATGAGATATCCTTCTTTCCAGTTCGTTGGCACTTGTTCCTCTTCCCAAATCTTCTTGAATAGAAGGTGAAGCATGTTTGCAGTTACTTCAATGTCTGACTTCAGTGCTTCTGCTGGTATATAGTCAGGTCCTGCCGCTTTCCCAATTTTGATTTGTCTGATTGCCATCTTGATTACTTCGATCGTTAGTGGAGTGACATCCATAGGAAGGTCTGTGTGCTGCTTCGATGTCTGGTGGATTCAACGGAGCTGGTCTATTCAGCAGTTCCTCGAAGTATTCTACCCATTTTTCCTCTGTTGTTTAACCTCCGTGATTGTGCTTCCTTCTTCATCCTTGACTGGTCTGTCTGGGTTACTATATTTACCTGTTAGTTTCTTCGTTATTTCATATAGTTGTTTCATATTCCCTTTTCTTGCAGCTTCTTCGGCCGTCCTTCTAGTTCGTTCATGTGTTTCTGCTTGTCGGCTTTAATGTTCTTCTTCACCTGCTTGAGCCTTGACTTTCTCTGCCCGCGTCCGGCTGTTGTTAGATGCTATTTTCTTTTTCTTCTTTTCTTGAATCTTGTCTAGGGTTTCCATGGAAATCCATTCCTTATTGTGAGGCTTCTTGTGACCCAGAACCTCCTGACACGCTGAAGTTAGTGCTTCTCTGATTCCTTTCCAGCTGTCCTCTGTCGTAGTTTCTTGTTCTTTCAGTAGATCCTATAAAGCTTGGAAACTGTTGTTGAGAGTTATCTTGAATTCGTTGAGTTTGTTAGTGTTTCGAAGGAAGGCGGTATTGAGCCTTTGTAATGCTGTTCCTCTAGATGTCCAGTGTTTCTTTAGCTCCAGTTTCATCTTGGCCACAACTAGGTGGTGGTCTGACGAAATTTCACCTGCCAGCATTATAACAACTTTATATTTTCATAGTTGAAAGCATGAAATCTCCACAAAACCCCTATTGATAACTTTATATTTAGCTAAATTTCTTCATACAATTCCTTAAGATTTGTTTTAATACATACAGAATGCATAAATTTCACTTGATTTAGATAATTCGTTTTCAGAATGTAGAACTAGAAAGCCTGTGTAAACTATGTTCCTCAGTAATAATTTAAATATTTGTAAACTGTAGCCCAGTGATATGAAACTAATGAAGGGAAACGGACTTATTGTATTCTATAAGTAAACTACTCACCCTTCAGTGTAGAAAACTACCCTCAGAGGTAGATACAATGCATGAAAAATCAAATCTCGCAATTTAATTAAACACAGTGAAGACCTATGCAAGTAGCTGCAGTTGTTACCATATGTTTATATGATCTATGTCCACCAATTACATGACCGACCACTGTATTTGAGAAATCTACCACATAGTGTTCAGAATTTACCTAGATATCTTAGTCATAAATTCTTGTGAAGACTAGTCATCTAGTCTGTGATAGAAACGACAGTAAAAATGTAATAAATGTCTGCTGATCCTAGTTGAAACGTTTTACGTAGACGCAATGATGAAGACAAATAGGGAAGATAAGAGGAAAATAAAATCAATTGACAAGCAGAGACCCTGTATAGATAGACAAATTAGAAATGAACCACCTACCCTAAATAAGAAATGTGCCCCCTTAGGTTAGGGACTGATTCCCAGTCATACTAATTTTCCGATATAAGCACCGATGATCTCAAAGACACCAATCAAACAAATAGCTAGAAATTATATAAGTTGACACTTTTGGTCTGACTGGTTTTTTTTACCCATTCCTACAACAGTAAGTACAGTACATCGAGAATATGAACAGTACAGGTTTGATCTAACTTGACCTGAACCTCAAATAATGTGTTTACGATTTGTTTAACACATCCATATAATCAGAAGGTCGGTTTTGTTTACTATGAGGTTGATCCATTTAATGCAGCATTCCATCCTGTAAACTCAAAAATATACCCGCAGACAATCTTTCACAGACCAGCCATGATTTGTTTCTTGTTAATCAGTGATTGAGGAAAAATACCGTAGCTCAAGAGCAAAATCTCATCAGTTTGTATCTGAGACATAAGAGGATGTAAACAAACTTGGGTGGACCAGATGGAAATATCATCGATGAAATACATTAACAGTGTACGTCTTGAATCCTGATATAACAGTGGACCCACAACGCACATCTGGATTAGCAAACTTATAACGAAGAACAGCATTTGTCAAACCAGTTTGAAATGTTAGCATTACTGATGCTATCGTGTATTGCGACTTATGATGAAAAACAAAACACCAAATTTGTATTTTCGCATAGATTAAATCTATGAGAACCATTGCAGTATGTGACAAGAAACAACTAACATACATCATCCTGTATATGTTGGCCTAACTATCGTCTCAAAAGCTTCTATATCTAATCTATGACACAGTCGTCGAACATCAGGCGCATTAGACTGGTGTTCGCTAGTTTATCATTACTCCGTAGGCAAAGTTCAAGACTGTCCTAACTTACTAGACATGATTCACAATAGAATGCCTCATCGATCTTGGTGCAGTTATTTAACTTTCCATGAACAATATTTACTTTTCGAAAGAGAATAAGCTCTGTTGATTGGTTTTGGTGAAGCAGCAAACATCAATAACTATAATTTCGTTCCATTCACTTGCAGATTATCTTAACTTCCCTTGTTTTTTTTATATGCCAAGTTCACCGAAACTTTTTTCATGGATTATTGCATTGATGTCCTTATCCTTACACGTGAATGACTCAAGCAGAAAGACGTCGCAACAATAAGCCACGAATCGACGTGCCGGCTCTGAATTTTTTATTCAGGCACAAAACTGCAAAAATTAAGCAACAAATCTAGGTATAAAAGACAGTGAGAATAAACGAAAATCCACCAAATATTAGTAAGTTGCAAACTACTGGCATTTAATCTCACTAGACACAATTCAATTCCCGTAAATGGGTACAATATGTTGTCCGAACGAACGAGCATTACCCCTTCAGTTGTTAGTTTACGCCATCAAAATGAATTTATCAGCTACTCGCAATCAGCAACAATCTGCCAGTAACTTAAAAAGCCAAATGTAGATTAGTGATGACAGAAGAGTTTAATCATACATTTTTAATCTCCAGCCTCCAAAGGAAAGACGGATATAACTAAGATCCGGCAACCACAAAACAAAAAGTTAAAAATTATATCCGATAAAACATCTACAAAGGACTAGGATGATAAAAGTCGATACACGAGTCATCAATAACTTATTCATTTTAAAAACACCAGGTAGATCATTTACAAACAAGTGTTACAGTCACTACTTATAAATACTTGTATTTTAATAGGAATAAATCACAGTGAAGATGTATGAGGACATAATAATACCTAGCACATACGAGAATTGATAAAATATTTGTAGCTGGACAACACCAAGGTCATAATTAGTCCGTCAAATGCAATGTAGAACCTGGCACGTGTTTACTTAGGTTCCAATTGTCATGCCCGATTGGCACAGTGAAATGAAGTTGTTGAAGCAAACCCCCGAGTAGTAAGGGTAGTGATATTATAGGTATTAGAAAAGATTAGACACAGAATATAAGGTTCGAAAAGAAATTTAGATTGGTGAAATTTTTACATGGCATTTAGGAAGAAACAGTGAGGGCTACAACAATGAACACTGCTTTTCCAAACAAGCAAAAGTACTTGAGATGACAACAAATTTAAAAACACGGATCATATTTAAGAAATCTTACATTTATTGTGATGTACAAAAAGTAGAAAAATAGTCTGGTGAGTTTAGTTTATTTATCCTAGTCGGCGTCATCTTCAATTTTCGGTGCCAAATAATACCGGATATAACCCAGGTCTTCAATACCAAACTCCACAACTACGAGATAAGTTAAGTTAAGTGTGCAATTACCTGCAGGGACGTTCTCAGTAAGAGATAATACAACTTGGCTAGAGAGTGGAGTGGCTTTAGTGAATATGTTGAAGTAGTGCAAAGAATAAGTCATGCTGACAGCCTCGTGCATTTCTATCGAAACAGACTCCTCGGGCTTGTCAGCGTTAGCAGATTGGCAAAGCTTCACATTTCCAGTACCTAAATCACCGTTTGAGCTGAAGGAAACACCGTCTTTAGCAACTGATATTACGACGGAATCTCCTATTTGGCTCAAGTCTCGACATATCCGTTGTAACTGTGCGGAAGGCATCCGAATTATGCACTTATAATCAGTATCCTGTAAAAATATTTTTAGAGCAAAAAAACTTACAGGAATACCCAGGTGGTCAACATCTAAATCCATTAATTTGATCTCGAATTCCGATGACCTGTCTTGGGCTGAGAACATTAAAAATCTGTGAAAAGCTTACACTTTGACTCAAAAACAAATGTCAGTGTATCCGCCTTGTCTCCAGCCTTTAAAGTGATTGCATCGTTCCCACTAGCACATCGTAGAATTTTAGACGCACTGGGAATAATGTGTATTACGTATACAAATACCTTGTGATGTTCAGGCCCAATGACAGATTCCTATCACATCTGTAAGTCTCAAAGCCATCACTTCGCAGAAGCAACGACACCAAGCTCACATGTGCGTTATCCATAGCTTGTAAACTGATACCATTTTCTGTACAATCAAGAGTCGCTTCTTGTACGAGGTCTTTTATGGCATCAATGACCTTCTTCCATATATCAGCCTGTGTAAGCCTAGCCTCGAACATCCCGAAAACTTTGAAATTTGTATTGCCACCAGTGACCTCTGTCTCCACTTGTAGGTTAAGATGATATAAACAAAGTGAAGTAGACTTTCTCGTTGTAATGCAAAATCTATTGGAAGTTGCTTGTGAACACGCTCAGTCAAATATAAACGGGTAACTTTGATTTCAAGTTTAGACAAGAGTGAAGTGGTGTACCTGTATGGATGCAATTATACAATTTCTAGCAACAATAAAATATATGGCATTATCCATTCATTTGGATTATTCATTCAAAGGCCACCGTCTAAAAGCTTAATGAATCCACCAGGTCTGTTGCAGTCGCGTGGACACATTAACTCAAACACGAGGGTTTCGCAGCGATAAATAAATCTCCAAAATATTTTGTTGTGTAAGTCTTCAACATAACTGCTGATCTCACCAGTTTTATCCGACAAACCGTAGCTGAAGATGACCCGTCACGCATCGGCATCAGATAACCAGTTGGTGCGCAGTGCTGCGAACTCTTGAAACTACTAGGCAGCTAAGACCAAACGCATCCCGACATATCGATACTTTTCAAATGGTTCAAATGGTTCAAATGGTTGAGGACGGAATAGAAGAAGCTTTCGCTTAACGGGCCTCCGTGTCTGGCCGCAGTGGATCACCAATACCTCCAGGCAAGAACGTAGGTATATGAACGATAATAGAGGGAAAAAATGAATTTGGTAAATCATAATAATATGTTATACTTAGTCCTTAAGAATAAGTCAAGTTTTCTCTTAAAGGACTCCTGGGAGGTCGCTTGGACTAGCTCAGTCGGCAGCGAATTCCAGCACTTGACAACTCTAACGGAGTAGAAGTTGTGTCTGCAGTCTGTTCTGCTATGTAGGGTCTCCAATTTCTGGGTGTTACCTCTGAGGTTAGTGTTATGACTAAGCTTAAGAAGTTGTTTAAGGGGATGACCAGAAGTATTAAGGATACTATAAGTCATAAAAAGATCACCTCTAAGACGCCTATACTCTAACGGGTAAAGGTTAAGTGATTTGAGGCGCTCTTCATAAGGTTTGAATTTGAGACCCCGAACTGATTTCGTGGCTCGACGTTGTATATGTTCCAGAGTGACCTTTTCCTTTTGGAGGGAGGGAGGAAATACTATGTTTCCGTACTCTAAGTGGGGACGAATAAAACTGTTGAAGATTATATGGAAGGTTCTACCGTCAAACTGGCCAAAAATGCGCTTCAATGTTACCAGTGCAAGGTTTGTTTGAGAGGCGTTTTTGTCCCAGTTCGCATACGATTTCAGGTCGTATGGTACCAACACTCCTAAATCTTTTTCAACTTGGGAAACTTCTGGAGGTGAGTTACCTAAGTTATAACTATAGTCTGCAACATGTCTCAGATGGACTACCTTGCACTTTGAAGTGTTGAAGGTAAGTCCGTTGTCGTCTGCCCAACTTTGAAGTCGAGTCAGATCCTCCTGAAGAACTAGTATATCATTGTGATTACGTATCTCTCTCCAAAGTTTGAAGGGCAGTCGAAATTTGCTCCCCATCGTTCGACGAAAGCGCAAGACACTGTTTTAACAGTAATGTCCTTAATGGGTACTGCTTCTGGCCATCGAGTGAAACGGTCTACGCATGTTAAGAGATATGAGTATCCATTTAAATAGGGTAAGAGTCCCACCAAATCTAGATGAACGTGGTCTAAACGAGCGTCAGAAGTTTTGAAAGAGCCTAAGGGACATTTGTTGTGTCTAATGACCTTAGATTTCTGGTAGCTTACACAGGAGCGTGTCCACTCTCTCACGTCTTTATTCATACCAGGCCAGCAAAACCGTTCGGCTATAAGTTTGACTGCTGCACGAGCACCTGGGTGAGAAAGATTGTGCAACGTATTGAAGACGTTGCGTCGATAATGTTTTGGTACTATTGAACGATCCTTATCTGTAGATGTGTCACAAAGTAAGGTTTCCTTACCTGTTCCCATCTGCTTAATACTTAGTTTAAGAGTTGTCGAGGATAACTCACGCTGAAGATCAATGTCTTCTTTGTGGAGCTGAGCGAGTTTAAGAAGGTTGATTCCTTGGAAACTGTCCAAGGAACTTATTCGAGACAAGGCGTCTGCAATTACATTGTTTGCTACAGAAATGTGTTGTGTATCTGAAGTAAACTGCGAAATGTAGTCCAGTTGTCAAGACTCTCGAGGTGAGTACTTGTATGAGGATGAACCTAAAGAAAAGGTAAGAGGTTTAGGATTGGTTAAAAAGCGTGAATTCTCTTCCTTCGCAGGAATGTCGGAAATGCCGTACAGCACAATACATAGCTAGGAGTTCCCTACCGAACGTGCTGTACCTAGATTCTGCGTCTAACAACCGTCTCCAGAAAAATCCTAAAGGTTGCCAAGAGTGGTTAACCCATTGTTGTAAGACACCTCCGATCGCTGAATCGGATGCGTCTACGGCGATACTAATGAGCGCTTGAATGTCTTGATGCGCAAGCAGGGTTGCCTTAACAATATGTTCCTTAACTGTGGAGAATGCATCTTGCGCGGTGTCATCTGAACTAATTGATTTTGCATTTCCACGAAGTTGGTTGGTTAACGATTTCATAAGAGATGCGCATTGAGGTATGAACCGTCTATAGAAACTTACGAGACCGTTGAAAGTGCCCAACTGCTTGATCGTGGTTGGTTCTGGGTAATCCAGAATGGCCGCCAATTTGTTTCTAAGGGGTCGGGTGCCTTTGGCATCAATAGTGTGTCCTAAGAAGTCTAAGGATTTGGTTCCGATTTGGCATTTCTGAATGTTGACAGTAATGCCATGCCTTTGAAGTCGATCGAAAACAATGTCCAGATGCTTGAGATGCGATTCTCTGTCCGGACTTGCTATTAGACAGTCATCAACATACGCATGTACGAAGTTGAGACCTCGGAAGACGTCGTCTATAAACCTTTGGAAGGTTTGAGCCGCGTTTCTTAAACCAAAAGGCATTCGTAGAAATTCGTAAAGACCGAAGGGAGTGATGATGGCGGTTTTAGGAATGTCGTCAGTTGCCATCGGGATTTGGTTATAAGCTTTAACCAAGTCGATTTTCGAAAAGACAGTTGTACCTTTCAAGGTAGCTGTCAAATCGTGAATGTGAGGCAACGGGTAACGTTCGGGAGTGGTTTTAGCATTCAGACACCGATAATCACCAGTTGGACGCAAATAATTGCTCTCCTTTTTAGGGACCATGCACAAGGGGGTTGATCATGGGCTATTTGATGGTCGAATTATTTTTAAGTCTATCATGTGATCGGATTCGTTTTTACCTGACCTTTCCCTTTGCCGCGTGTAAGCTTAAAACAGACTCGCAAGAACTGTCGTTAGAATTCGCGGGAAGAACGCTAACTTCTGCGCCAGTGTCGATGAGGTAGCGGACTTTTGTAGTCACATCCGTGACGTATAAGAGGCAGCGATGTTCGACGGCTGCGGCTGCCGTTAACGCGTGCCGGCTGAGAAGTTTTCTGAGTTTTTATCCATCAATTTGGAGTTTGGGTAATTGCAGGGCTTCCTGCAATTTCTACAAGACTTGCCATGCTGGTTATGATACCGGCACCAGTCGGGGTGCTGGTGAAACACTTCTACGCGGGGTTCTTGACCGTCTACGGTCACTACGAAATCGAAGACATCGGGTGAGTGTATGACATAATTCGGTCTGCGGTCTGCAGATGCAGCCAGTTCGTCTACGACGTTGTTCTGAAACGAGACCAGAACTGCTTGCACATGTTGAGGAAGTTCGTTGGCCAATAACTTCTCTCATCCATAGCAACATGTTTGTCGCAGAACCATGTTGCAGGTAGATATTATTAAAGAGTTGATCTAACCTTTGCCGATCGGTCAGATCTCCGCGTTTTGACACCGATCGTTTCAGACTTTCGTAAGGTTCCGAAACATCACTAGTAAGCATACTAGGTGTGACGTATCTGTCAAATTCGCGCGGTAGTGTCTTAACAACCGCGAGGAACTGTGTGCGTGAGCCCATAATGCCATACTCGCAAAAGTCGGCTTCTGCGCAGCAGAACCAGGCTTCGACATTGTTCGGCCAAAAAGGCGTTAACCGAATCGAGGATGGGGGGATAGTCTTTAACTTAAATAATTTCGGTGTCTGTTCCGTCATAGTATTATGATGAAAATATATCCGAAAACTCGAAAAAAGTTATATCACAATATATCAAAGTCAAATAAAGAAAAACAATGATTAATAAAGTTCCAAAAAGGGATAGACTCACAGTTTATCATTTGGTGTACCAGATCCCGTCGGTCTCACCACTGAAGATACGACCAGTAATGTGGTTTGACAACAATTAACCAGTAACACCTATAATCGAATCGTGACCACCCAGTTAAAATCAGAAGTCAGAAGTGAAGAGGTTGGAAAGATATATTTGATGCGTTATCAATACATGGAGAAGCAGTTGATCTAATCTGGCTAGCGAACATATATGTTTCCCACTCTGTGCTGTGACGTGATCTGGTACGGATGCATGACCGAACACCTTCAGCTAAGCAAGTCCACTAAAACTATTGTGGCAGCATCCAATGTCGAACACTTAATGAGCTACTAATTGAGGGGAATTATTTACAGCTACAACTTAATACCCATTCGTTTGAGCTTATTGATAAGACCAGATTACTACTAATTAGACATTTGTAAAGATCTGTTACTGCACTGAACCATAAGAAGAGAGCATAAAGGAAACAATCAGTTTACACAAACTCGACAAGAAGATATTGGACATTGTATACTAGGGTCAGGAGACCAGGGTCACTTAAGTTTGTGGGTTTTCGAATAGTTTGGACGTAATAAATTTAAGATTTTTCCTATCATATTCTTACCCTATCCTTGACCGTTGTAAGATACTTACGTCTACAGCCTGTTTGAATCACTAAACTTAACGGTTTGGTTCAAACTGTAGGGTTGAAAATGTTTCTGAACTTTTGAGCTAGCACACATAAATAATAAACTGCTTTTCGTTTCAAATCCACTTCTGACTATGAACTGATTTACTTTTTGCGTGTTTACATCAGAAACCTGACAAAATAAAGCGTTCTCTGCATTTCTCACTTTTCCTGCTTGAGCAATAACTGCACTTAGTACATGCATCAGCTGTTTCTCTTCGTCAATTCAATCTCAGAATGTATACAGACTGAATTTAAATTTATTAACCATCAAATGTTATCCAATATGTTTTCAGGTTCTTAGCTAATATTTAGTGTAGCTGAACTTTTGGAAGATGGAGTCAGAGTGTGTACAGCTAAAGCCAATAATTTTGAAAACGTGCATCATTTTGACACCTGATAATATTTTTCATCAGAATAATCCGATGTTTTCCATCTTTGTACTGAAAATAACATTCACTCAATGTGAGAAACTTAGAATTTCAAAGTGTAGGAACACTTGTGGTACGGTCATACCCATCTTCAAAAAAGCTACCAACTCAGTACTCGATCAAGCATAAAAGGTTGTAAGGAATAAAGTGAGATAATAATGGTGAAATATTGTAACAGAATGGTATGCAACTAATGAATATGTGGAAATATTTGGTTCATTGAGCTTTTGGTACTAGGATAACATAAGGAGATCATTCGGGTGTATAAATGTGGAAATCGAATTGGCAAACAGTTATTTGAATGAAAATTTAAGTATTTCGAAGGCTGGATTCACTAGTCGCTACAGAAAATCAAGCTTAACAGAACGTTGGGTTTATAATTGGCTCAACAGCGTATGCATGTTTTGGTAGAAAACCAATGACCCTAACTTGACCTATGATTTCATTCAACTTACTTGATCGATGAATGTACCTAACGCATCTGTAACCAGAAAAAAAGAGAGAAAAGGTAAGAACAGTTGAAATAAACTTAGGCGGTTGCTATTTGAAGATGTTAACTATATGGATATAGAAATAAACTGGGGGGGGGTAGTATTGGTCAACAAAATTAATACTTGAAATATTAACCTAGAACTTATAGTATAATTTTGATGCCATATCTGTGTCACGCCACCGAAGTCCTATAACTTCAAAAGTGTTGTTTAAACGTACAGATGAATGTCTACGGTATTTATTACAATAGTCATTGCTAATCCCGAAATCCGATAATATCAAATCGAAAACTGGTACCCATGTAAGAAACCTTCTTTATTTTTATTAGTTATCAACGTGAAAATCCCTTTGATTGGCTATCATCGGCTCAATTAAGTTCAAATGGATTCTATAAAAGTTTGTATACTCGCATAAATGATAAATGATGTTCACTTATACTATCATCTTTGTCCTGCCCTACGTTTGAAACATATTTCTATTGCTTTGCTACGAAAAATGCCCTTCATTTTAGGGGTTAAGACGCTGTAACCAAATGCAATATTCACTCTACTCCACGTATTCTGGGAAAGTAGAATGATCTACCATTGATCAATTTTAATATAGTAACATCTCATGAACTATATTTATATGCAAGGTTTGTTATTTAAATTTCCGTCCACAAATGTCAGATAATGAAGTTCAAAAAACCATACAGGTTAAATAATATCAGGTTTCAATGAACTCTATACTGTGAAAGTTTAAACTAAGGTAATCGCGTTACGGTTTTCCGAACTTCATAATGCTGATTTATGGTTTGGAAGGCTGTTATCTCCTAGATAATGGACATAAGTCCATGTAGTTTTAAAAACGTATCTATCAAAATTGCTTTTATTATAATTAAATCTATAACTCTTCTCAAATGATCCACCATTATTGTAGTGTTATTTCTTCAGTTTTCCTCATAAACCTAGAATATCTTTATGTCATGTAAATAATTAAATGAGAATACTCCCCTGATCAACTTTTGTTTTACGGTTTTCTGAACCGACTACTTCACAGTGACGAAACATTTAGTACTGAAAGCAACGGAAAAATCAATCTACAGAATAACAGAAATAATATAATAACAAAAAACACAAACAACCTTTTAAATTTTTATCGTTAAAATGACAATAGTAACTTTCTATCCTTGAATTTATTGAATGTCTTTCTATAGAATTTAATCGGTTAACTACATGGCCCTAAGCCCGTTTTGACCTGGCTAAATGGAGCGTATTTCATGGAAGGTTGGTGGTTGGGGTTAGGGTATGTGGAAGCCAATCCATGACATAACAAATTTAGGTTAATCTTAAATCTACTCAAATGTTCAGGCTATTTTATTCACAAAAATTTTAAATGTCATAGCATTTTCATAAAATGTTTGACACTTAGCCGACTGTTCAATGATGATGATTTATGAATCTTCCTATTCATTACCTTGGACAGTCAAATTTTCATTGAATCTCACCTCACTAGTCTGGCTGAAATAATAAACAGAAAAATAAGTTCTCCCTTGAGAAACAATTTTTATTTCTGAGACCAACTGATTTTGTTGTTACTTTATCTCAAAAATGTATGGTATCTTTAAAACTTTAAAATAGTAATATAACACAAAATGCTTGTATGTTTTTGTCTATATCTCCATCAAACTTTATTATCTAGCGATATTTATATGTGAGTATGAAGTCAATCAAAGAAAGCAATGAAATAGATTTCGCAACTATGCATGATCAATAAAAAAGTAAATAGTACAAATTAATAGCAGGCCAAAATACATATTATTAGCGATAAAAGTAAACATAAATCCTTTATGAATGAACAGTCAGTAATATAACTACCTACGTTTATATAAAATTTGGCCGACTGGAAATAGCAATTAGAAATGTATTATAAGTATATGTATTCCCGGTTGGCTGAATTTTATATGCATCCAGTTATTTAGGTTGCTGACAGTTTATTCAGAAAAATAGCTGATTCCATATAAAGCTAGTTCGTGAAAATAAATTATTAGCAATTTTATGTATTCTACTTTTTAGACATGGTCAAAGTATATTTAGTGAGGATAAGAATAAAAAGATAACCTTATCATTCCATACATCTAGATAAGCATGTTTTTTTGAGGATGTAGTGATGTTTGAAAAAATCTTTAGTAATGAGAGTCCTTTGAACTTTATATCTATCCCAACGTGGATGTAGTTTTTACCATAAAAACCAGTTATACAGCTATGTTGTACAGCCTAACTTATAAATCTCATTGTTGTCAAGAAATATTTGTCTAGTATTTTGAAATAATTTAGTATTTATAGCTGCTTTTTCTGTATTTCTAGTATTTCATAATGACATAAAATGTAACATTCTTTTTATTAGGATGAATAACAGAATGAATAACACTTACTCCAGAGATGACGAAACCCAAGGGAAAGCATCCCCACCAAATATTACTAGTGTAACTTATGGGAGTGTAGAGCTGGACTGGAAAGACTACTTGAATAAAATCCAAGAAAAAATGAATGCACAATCTAATAAAATCAATCCATTAGCTGAAATAATTTTTAAGAAAGATTCTTCTGAAGACTGGGAAAGTGGATATATGTAATCTGTTATTTAAAAAATCTCCAACAAAATTTTTTTTTCTTTCCTCAATTTTCAAGTGGCTACGATCATCGATGTACATGCAAAAACTTAGAGCCTGATACACCATATTATTTTCGAATGCGTTTTAAAAATTTGAAAGAATTTGGAAATTGGAGTGATGTGGTACATGTTCAAACCAATGGTAAGCTTATTATGATGATATTTTCAAGCAAAAAATGAATTTCTATACAATGTGTTTCACATAATAGAACTTCCTGTAACTGGTCATGAAATACATGTTGCTGTAAAACAGGGAAATGTCATACGTTTACGTGAGTTACTTGAAAAAGAGTAAGTTAACTGAACTATTATTATTAATAGTCACTTAAATCTTTGATAAATTTAAAGAGAATTTTAATATTACTAGGAGATATAAAATAGTAATTTGTATGTTAAATGCTTAAAGGTGTGTAGATGAATCCTATAAAAAGTGATAACTTCGAATTTCGTGAATGCGGGATCGTGGATGCACACTGCTGAGGAATCCCACATAAGGACAAAACGGCCGTCCAGTGCTTCCAGGTTTTCCATGGTGGTCTAGCTTCAATTGATTCATGATTTCAACTATGAAAATAACTTTATTATAGTCAAAAACTGACGAATTTATTTGGGAACTTTGAGAATAGTCTCATTTCTAATGAATTATAAGCTGACTTTATGAATTATTCAGACATAATTTTATTGTTTGATTAGAACAGTTGAAAATACAAACCATTTCAGTAATGTAACATTAAAGATCTTTTCTAGTCTTTGCAAGAACCTAGATCATATACATTTTAAATGATTTTGATGTGGGTTTGTTCTCTAAGCTGAATGGCTCAGAGAACAAACCCACATCAAAATCACCCACATGAGTTACAAATTTCCACCATCGCATTTTAAATGACTTTTAATCATATTTATTTTGATGTTCAACATTCTATTTATTAATGTGTTGTCCTTCTCAGACAAAAACTTTTCACTACCCAGCTGTTTTGTCTCTTGATGACTGATAATTTGACATCTTAACGTAGAGCACTTACCTTTTTTTGATTCATCATCTGGAATACTTTAAACGTTTTTACACACTCTGTTAGAATGATCATAGCAATCATTGAATAATACGTTCAACATCAGAATTATATAAAGCTTCTTTAACAAGTTCCATCTACAAGACTTTTTTTGTAAAGTTGATCATATCAGTATTAGATAACTAAATCACTTCAAACTCCTACTGAAAATGTTTATCTTGTAGTGGTGATTGATATGTTAAGCCCATATACCATATTATAGCTTCAGGACAAGTCAATTCTCCTGTCCATTATGAGTCATGTTTTCACATTGTTAATTATTCGCTGATTAACGCCGACTATTTTTATATGAGCGTAAGTGTGTGTACACTTCTTATCCCATTCATTGCATGTCTGTAACTTATTCTTGTCTGACTATAAATATTGATAAACGTTGGATAAATGTGAGTTGGCTTATCCGCCATCTCCAATGCTTGTCATTTTTGTTTCGCTTGCTGATATTTACTCATATACTTATAGCTTTCTGATCTGCGTCATTTGTCAATAAAATTGTAGCTGCCGCTTCTCCTCACCTTCTGATTTTATGCACCGTTAAGATTTATATTATAATGGTTATCGAGGTGAACGATTAGCGAAGCACGGCACTACAATCTATTTGTTAACAAACGTATATTCTCATCTAAAAATACAGAAACTTTCTATTATTCATTATTTTGGTTTTCATAATAAGTCATATATTACTTACTTTTAAGTGATATTTATTTCGACATTTTTATTCCTAGACAAGCATCCATTGAAGCGTTAGATGAATTAGGATTTACTGCTCTTATTTACTGTGCCCAGCGAAATCTTCCAGAGTAAGTCTGCTGAAATTAAACTTGATTATGAATCATTAACCACCAAAAAAAACACTATAAATAATTTCGTCCTATAAATGCATTACAATGTACATATATAAAACTTTACATCAGAAACAAGATTGATAATGTAATTCGATTATTGGTCACTTTTTGATAAAAACATGACTCGTAATTTGGGAAATATATTCATGTTAGTAGGTTCATAAATATTTCCTTCTCTTTTTTTTCTACCCGAAGTTTGTGCTGATGATGTCGTTTAGAAGGACGATGAAAGCTCCACGACCAAACCATCCAGCTCAGAGAACAAACCTACATTAAAATCACCCACCTGAACTACAAGTCATCTCCGCTATTTCCTTCTCTCTACATAACTTATTATTTGATTTTGTAAAATCTCAAAAGATGTCTAAATATCCATCATGGACTATTTTTAATTAGACAATGAACAAAAACAGTTAGATGTCAGAGAAATAGGATTGGTTAAGTATGTTACTAAACTACAAAATTTAGCGAGTTTTGCAACTCTCTATTATTAAGGAACATGCATTTTCTACGATATACTAGTTGAAAGTTTTAGATAATCATTAATGAATTTCTGTTGAAAGAACCTTGCTAACTGAAAAGTATTAAACCACTGTTTTGTCATAGTTGTGCACTCATTATAAATCATTATTGACGAACAACTTTGATATATATAGATCTCTTGTCAAGGAGAAAAAATGTAATGGTCACTATTGCTAGTGAATATTCATAGATAAGTCACAGTAAAACATAGATGTAGTCTTCTAATTCGTTTGAATTTATCGGAAAGGTGTATTTATTTCTTTAAGCAAATTCAGGATGTCTTGGAAATTTATGATAGCACCACAGATTAACTTCTTATTTAGAAACACAAGTCATGCAAAATGTAATTTTGTTTTGTACAAAAATTGGGTTTCAATTTAGTGTCAGAAGGGGTTTTGTGGAGATTTCAGTATTTTCATAGTTGAATCTCGCGAGTGCGGGATCGTGGATTCGCACTGCTGAGGAGTCCCATAATAGAATGAAACGGCCGTCCAGTGCTTCCAGGTTTTCCAAGGTAGTCTAGCTTCAATTGACTCATGATTTCAACTATTAAATTTAGTACTCAATTCTTCAGTGTCTATCGAAGTTTATGGACAAAAAGATTTGATTCAATTGTTAACCAGCACTTGCAAACTAAGTAAACACCGATCTACACTGATCAACATATTTATCATTTAAACAACTCATAATGAACCTTTCAGTTATCTCGGTTAATAAAATGGAGCGTCGGGATAACAAGTGGATGAAGTAACTTAAATATAGTTCAGCTTATTGAAGTATTTTTTTAAATACCTCTTAAAAAATTTGAAAATCTAAGAACGATAGGAAATTTTTAGACGATATTACAAACTATCCAGTACTAGTGTCTTTTATTCATTCTTTAGTCGGTCTAAAATTCAGTGACATTATGGATTAATATTCTTTAGATCCAGAACTTTTTATTGTATCCAATTAGTAAGTATCATTAAGTACCTGAATTCTCTCTTGATGTGATTTTTGAAAGTAAAACTGTCGATATTATTCCTAGACATTAATAACAGTTATGCATAATAAAATATGTATATTAGAAAATAGTTGTTACATCCACATTATCTACAGTGTTCAGCTAGTAACTGAATGCTTTCTTCACATTTTTTTAACAGCGTAATGTCAATTTTACTTGAAGCTAATGCAAATACGGACACCGAATCAAGTACAGGAAAAACTGCGATTATGTTTGCTGCTTTCAAAGTTAGTAGTTTTGTTTTAAATAAAAACTTACGGTTAATTTTGATGATATACGATCAACTTACTTCATATGACTTCTTAAAAAGTAACTTTCAAGAAGTGGAGATAAAAGGGTAATTCGCAAATTAAAGATATTTTACATTTGATCAGAATTGCTGCGACGATTTGATGATGTACGCTATAAGATATGTTCTAATCAAAATTAACTATCATTCCCACACGACGATAGTCTTTATTCACAGAAATTCGTCCAATAATCCATGAAAGCTGTCAATATTTGTCCGATTTTTTTTATATCTGTTTTGCGATCGGTTGATCATAAGTTCTATGTTATTCCAACTTAAGTATTCCCTTTATGCCTCGGGTGAGATCGGCATAAGTGAGAAATCGAAATCTGTACCTCACTTTCAAAACTATTGATTACAATTTTGTAGTTAAGAACAAATAATAAAGAAAAGATTTTTGGCTAATTGTTATCATTTCATATAACTACTCCAAAGTATGTTGAAAGGATTTCAGGAGAACCTAAACAAAAAAGATGACAACACTACATAGAATCAACAACTGTAAGATTAGATTGAATCAGAAATTATACAATCTTATAGTTGAAGAAAACTGTAGGAAGAATGATTGAAAATCGCTTACAGATGCATTCAGTTTTTGTCTTTATCAAAATCTTGAGTGCGGGATCGTGTATGCGCACTGCTGAGGAGTTCCATAATAGGACGAAACGGCCGTCCAGTGCTTACAGGTTTTCCATGGTGGTCTAGCTTCAATTAACCCATGATTTCAACTATGAAAATAATAAATTCTCCACAAAACCCCCTCTGATCTATAAATTATATTGCCCAGTTTTATTTGTTATTTTCAAACTATCCTCTATTTGTTTACTTGTTTATTCTGTTATCATTAACGATATTGTTAAAACTTGAACTAATATGCATACGTATGTGGTTTTAGATCACTTCTAATCTACTAGGTAGATCAGGATTATGGATCTACAATGTATTTTATATATAGTTTATACAGGTTTATTTATGTGCATAAACTTATTATTTCATGTTTATCATTCATACAGTGGGTAGTCGTAGAGTTCATCAAAATAATACTACCAATGTTTACAATACATGGAGTTGCTTCAATGAACCAATAAAACACACTCCTGTTAAGAATTCCTGAAATCTGCTCATACTATATTATACATATATAGGATCTCGTTTTACATTACAATCAAACTCACTAGCTATATCATGTGTGTAAAATAAGTTAACTAACAAACAATTACACTACTGAAGTTTGACATTAACACCGTTGGATGCTGGCTCAGTGGTCAAGCGCTCGATATAGTCCTTATGACAAAAGTTGATATAGAATAAATGGAATGTGTCTTTCAGTGGAATCCATGACGCTCATGGAGTCATATGTGGTGCTCATCGGCTGGATGTACCTGCAAACATTACTGGGTTGGATTCCCAGAGCGAATATCAACTCTGGTATGCAAGTATATCCAGCTGATGATTTTCAAGTAAAACAAAACGCTAATCCTGGATTTCACTGCTAACAACTATTCATATCTGCCTAAAATAATGTTTTCATATTTAGGGAAACATTGAATGTATAGAATTACTACTTGAATATGGAGCTGATGTAAATCACTCAGATAAAAATGGTTTGACCGCTTTACATATGGCTGTAGATGGAGAGCAACCAAGAGCAATCAGACTGTTGGTTAAATCATCTTCTAATTTAGAAGCTAAGGATAACAATCTTGGATGGACTCCTTTATTACGTTGTGGTAAATTTATTAGATAACTATATATATACTTTTTAAAAAGGAAATTGTATTTTTAGAAATCTCAATGGTTTGAATTAAAGTAAATCCAACATTTCACTCGACAGTCTGGCCCAAGTTTATTTTGTTACTGAAGGAAGCCTAGACCAGATGTTTGATCTATTTTAATTTCAATAGCCGAAATTTCTTAGTTGATATTAGTTTATTATGAACGTCGCATTCAGTGTCTGCAAAGTTCATGTAAAACGTGCAAGTTATGATGATTTTCTGTAAAAGGTTCTCATTTTATTAAATTAGTGTAAGGACATTCGTAGTTTTTTTTTACTATCTCTTAGATTAGTAGTATAAGCTGTTAGGTTAAAAAAAGAATCTGCATTCTGTCGACTTTAGTCATATTAGATGCTGAAGTTGATCCAAACCAATACTATGATCTGTTGAGTTGGACACAGTAACAAATGTTATTGTGAATTTTCTTCCCTTAATAATATTGTGATATGACTATGCCACATAAGTGACACAGATTGATACTCATCACTGTGTTTTATAGAATAGTATATGTCCTATAATCATGACTGATTTCACTGTCTTTCTTAAGAAAAACACTCTCACTCAAAGTTTCACCTACTTCCCTCTTACCTATGTGTTGCTATCATAGTATGTGTTATTTTATATTATTCAGTTATGATCAATCCACTCGCTTATTAGAACCATCTTTTATCATTTAGTGTCTTATCTTTCATCCATTTAGTATACATCACAACTTTAGGATTCACTATAATACATATGAAAACTGAAATTTTTGCAAAATCAAACTACTGTGATATTTGAATTGATCAATCTCCGTAAGAACGTAAAATCATTAAGAAGACCTCGTAATATAGAATAAAATTTTGAGCAAAGAACAATTTGGACAAGAGTAGCCATAGAATCTAGAGTTGACACTTTATTTAGAACAGATTAGAATATCATATCACTTCTGAATACCAACAATGAGAAAGTAAAAATCTTACAACTAACAATCCTATCACATCTGCTGAATATTTCGAATGTTTTTCAAGTCAATAGTATACTACGCCTTTTGAGTATAAACAAAAATCAAGTTCAATATGAAAAAACTGGAATGTAAGAAAATCTTGACAATTTTCTATCCAGCAGCAGTAGGTCTCAATATAAACAGAGGGAAAAGCAAGAATCTCCGATACAATACAGCATGCATTAATCGAAATACACTTGACGGAGAAGCTTTAGAGGATGTGAAAACCTTTACATATCTAGGCAGCATCATCGATGAACACAGTGGATCTGATGCGGATGTGAAGGCGCGGATCGGCAAAGCAAGAGCAGAATATTTACAACTGAAGAACATATGGAACTCAAAACAATTGTCAACCAACGCTAAAGTCAGAATTTTTAATACAAATGTCGAGACAGTTCTACTGTATCGGGCGGAGATGTGGAGAACTACGAAAGTCATCATCCAAAAGATACAGGTGCTTATCAACAGTTGTCTACGCAAGATACTTCGGATCCGATGGCCAGATAATATCAGCAACAACCTACTGTGAGAGACAACAAACCAGATTTCAGCGGAAGAAGAAATCAGGAAGAGGCGGTGGAAGTGGATAGGACACACATTGAGGAAATCACCCAACTGCGTCACAAAACAAGCCCTCACATGGAATCCCGAACGCCAAAGGAGAAGAGGAAGACAAAGAACACATTACGCTGAGAAATGGAGACAGACATGAGAAGAATGAAGAAAAATTGGACAGAACTAGAAAGGAAGGACCAGGACGGAGTGGGTTGGAGAAAGCTGGTCGGTGGCCTATGCTCCATTGGGAGTAACTGGCGTAAGTAAGTAAGTAAGTTATATCCCAAATATAAGAATTTCGTCTCTAATATTACAAATGGTTAGACAGTCATGTCAACGTATGTTTCACAAGTGTTATCCAAAAATTCCTATTTCAAAATTTATAGATTTCACTGAAACTGCATTAAACGGTTTCACTTTTATTTTTCATACAAAATAATAGCCGCTTTAAAAAATAATGGAAATGTAGATGTGGCCAGAGAATTAATTAAGCTAAATGCTAACATTGATGCACAAGATCGTGACGGTAAAACTGCACTACATAATTGTATTCTACTTGGACACATTGATTTATGCCGGTTTCTGTTAGAAAACAATGCCAATAAGAATTTGAAAACTAACGTAAGTAAACTTTTTGAAAAGTCTTAAGTATTTTGTTTCATTGTTGGCCATCAACAAACGCAAGAAGCCAATTATTTAGGTAACTTTATTAGAATATTGTGTATTACGAACTGAAATATCTTGATTATCTAAACGTATTGTGGTGTGGTCTACTTATATCTACATTAGTATGTGGTGATGGTCAGATATAGAATGTATTTTGGCAGAAGATCGATAAGGAAAGAACAGGAATGAAGCTCAATCGGTATGAAAATGCATGAACAATGAAATAAGAGAAGAAGGACTGATATTTGTAGAAGGAATAGTTAAGATTGAGACAATGGATTGATAGTTTGTAAATTAACTGTTGAATGTATGGTTATCAGAATTTAGTGACATAGTCTGTAATTTGTGCTCTAATACATCCTGTTGTTCCCAACCGGTGTTCTGTGTACTACAGTATTATATACTTAGAAAATAAGTTAATGAATGTTAAATTTCGTCAAAGCATCCATTCATTATGTTCGTATACAGTGACTGTGAATACATTGGTAGAGATCCAGCTAACCATAATAAAGTTACATAGAAAGACAATATAGTTGACAAATACCATTTTTAATGTAAAGTATGGATTAATTTAAAAATGACGACTTTTCATCAACTAATACATTTAAGCAGAGATGGATAGTGGCTAGCAGTGGAATCCAGGACGCGCGTTTCGTCCTATTTGGGACTCGTCAGCTGGATGTACCTGCATCTCAGAGTTGATGTTCACTCTGGGACTCGAACCCAGTACCCTCGCTTCAAACGCCATCGCGTTATCCACTCGGCCACTGAGTCCTGATAGCCACTTGCTTGTGCGATGGGGTGAAGTTTGAATTCACTTAGTATTGTTTGTTTGGATCTTCCCATCGATGTGTTTAGGACTGCAACTGGTCAGTCTCTAATTGGCATATGTGCATACTGTGCGTATTGCCTCGATATACCTTAATTCACAAGCATGGTAAGCAGAGATGGATAGTGGCTAGCAGTGGAATCCAGGACGCGCGTTTCGTCCTATTTGGGACTCGTCAGCTGGATGTACCTGCATCTCAGAGTTGATGTTCACTCTGGGACTCGAACCCAGTACCCTCGCTTCAAACGCCATCGCGTTATCCACTCGGCCACTGAGTCCTGATAGCCACTTGCTTGTGCGATGGGGTGAAGTTTGAATTCACTTAGTATTGTTTGTTTGGATCTTCCCATCGATGTGTTTAGAGACTGACCAGTTGCAGTCCTAAACACATCGATGGGAAGATCCAAACAAACAATACTAAGTGAATTAATACATTTAAGTAGATAAGCTACTCAAGAAATGTATCCATATCTATCTATCTGTGGTAAAGAACTTGAGAGTGGACCTTACCTTGGTTTCTTACAGTTTTTAATCAATTAGCTTTAAATATCTAGGATGAAGCATTAGATAAAAGAATTCGAATCAAACAAAAAAACACTTAAGAAGTTTTCTAAATGGATATTACGTAAAATACTGCAGATATGACCTGATAATGCTTGTGTATTCTTCGGACTGATGTTGAATACTGACCAAATTCAGAGGAAGATTGATACAGAACTTACAATAAGGTTTGAAAGTACATTTCTCACGGTGGAATCAGTAATCCTAATAACGTTGTAAGAGCACAAACAAAATTACATAAGTACATTTCATAGCAGACTCATTAAAAAAAAACAGAATGCCTGCTTGCTTATCGGACATAATCTAGGATATCAACATACTATAAACATGACGGACAACTTTCTAAAATGTCTAACTACAAATAAATGTAATAAACAAAATCAAAATGATCAATTATCAGTGGTGAAATTACAATCACCTTCCAATGAAATAAAACAGTAACCTCCTTTCGCTTTTTTTATCTACAATCACAAATCAAAAACTTTAGCTAGAGAAGGTTCTGTTCTCCCGTGTATATTAATATTCATTGAAGAGAATTCAGATTTTAGAGAAGGCAAAAAGATGTAATAAATTCACTACATTGAACAAATTATGCCATCCGTACTTTATTTAAATTAAGAAAACTATCTAATATAGGCTCAAATATATTCGCGGAATTTTTGTAATGCGACATTAAACAGTTGGATACCTGCCTCAGTGGTCTACAGGTTAAGCATTTGCGCGCGAGACCTACAGGTCCTGGGTTTGAATCCCGCTAGCAGGGTCATGGGTGCGCAGTGCTGAGGAATCCTATACTTGGACGAAACGGCTGTCCAATGCTTTAAGACTTTCCATGGTGGTCTAACTTTAATTGACTAATCAATTCAACTATGAAAAAGAATACTGAATTACTTGGACTTATATTCCATCAATAATAATCTCTTCTAGTAACCATTAGTTTCTGTCACAAAGCATTTTAATGTAAGTGAAAGCACATATTACTTATTATCTTTCAGTCATTCAAATATTCATAAGTTTTACTTCCTGACCTTCAATACAGGCTTTAACGAAAACAGTAAATTGATTAAACCAAATAATTGTTTTTAAACCCGAATTTGCATCCAAGTGCCTTCAAATCATATTATTCTAGTGGGAAGCAGTGACCAGTGGAGTTCAACCAAGTCTGTTGTAGAGATATCAACTCACTGGAGACAATTGGAGAACGGTTGCTTGAAGTCATGGATTGGTTGAAGTTAAACATTAACACCATTGGATGCCGGCTCAGTGGTCTATCGTTTAAGTGCTCTGTCGCGAAACTGGTAGGTCCTGGGTTCGAATCTCGCGAAGCGGGATCGTGGATGCGCACTTCTGAGGATTCCGATAATAGGACGAAACAGCCGTCTAGGGCTTCCACGTTTTCCATGGTAGTCTAGCTTCAATTGACTCATGAATTCAATTATGAAAATACTAAATTCTCCACAAAATCTCTTCTGATTATTCTTTTGTCATCTTTATTTGTAATTGTAGAATGGACATAATGCATTGGTACTAAGTGAATCTGTTGGAAATCAAGTAAGTAAGATTCATTTCATTCAACGAAAATTCTTTTTTTTTTCAAAATTAGAAAATTCAAAAATTAATCAAAGAATTCGTCAATCATAGTAAAACTTGGTAAGTATGTTTCATTATATCATTGTATAGTAACCATTGAAAGTTTAATTCAAACAAATATTGAACCTTAATGATAACTTAGTTATTTATTCCTAGTTCTAAGATATTTAATACATTAATATAATAAACAAATAATCATAATTAGAAGGGGATTTTGTGAAAATTTCAGTATTTTCATAGTTGAAATCATTAGTCAATTGTAACTAGACCACCATGGAAAACGTGGAAGCACTGGACGGCCGCGAGATTCGCGAGGCGGGATAGTAGATGCGCACTGCTGAGGAGTCCCACAATAGGACGAAACGGCCGTTCATTGCTTCCGGGTTTTCAATGGTGGTCTAGCTTAGATAGAATCGTGAATTCAATTGTGAAAATGCTATAATCTCCATACTGATGCTAAACTTTCACTTGGAATAATAGGCAACCGTTGAAAACAATAAAAACATTTTGTCCCACTGTAATCGTTTATTATTCATATTCTTGTATGGTAATTGAAGCTTTCTAGTGGTTTATTATTAGCATCTCTTTATTGTTTCATAATGAGAATTATTTTTATACGTAAAGTTGGTCTATGGATAACGTTTTATTCAATTTTAATTCTTGGAATTGACGTATCTAATAGAAGGAAGACAGTATTCAAATTAATATATTTTCTAAATTAAAATACATACTAAAACCGTAATATAAAAACATTATCATACTGATTAAAAGGCTAAGTAAACCATCCATTTATTTATTTAAACTCATAAATATTGGTAGAAAGAAGCACCAGATACATGTGCGCCGCACAAATCTCATTTGTTTTGTGTGAGGGATGTGATACTGCCCAGGTGCCCAAACCGAAACAGGTGGTTTTCTTAGGGGGCCACAACCGGAGCCTTTGACCGAAAGATCGGATCCACAAGGCAGTGGAGCATCGTAAGGAAATGCCGTCCCATGGTAGCCGATTACTAACGATTGATTTATATGCCAATTGTTCCCTCAGGGTACTGGAGCCATGTGCACCATTGGTTTGGAATCAGGGTTTTCCAACTCCCCTAGATGGACTCGCCGTTTCCACCAACCGGGTTAAAGCGCCGGATATTCGCTTTTGGTCCTCTCAATTTCGTAAACAATAGTAATGCCACGAGAAGGCAGTGAGTAGGACTTCCGTGGCAGAAGCTGTATACGCGCGGTCATGTGAGAGCATTTCGAGAGGGAGAGCGGACTCTCACCACCCACAGCCGTACCAGGGCATTCGGGGCAGATTAGATTTGTGTGACGCATATATATATCTGGTGCTCCTTTGTACCAATATTTATGTGTTCAAATAAATAAATGAATTTCCTCTGGTCAGCTGATACTCCTCTATTTGATCGTCTTGACTTCCGGATTCTTAGATTGTAAGCACTCTTGTGACCAACTTGATTCGGATTAAAAAAGGAGATCGTCCATTAAATGTGAATCTTTAGTAAGGTTGCAATCAGAAAGTAACTTGGATACGTTTATTTCAGTAAATATATTTTATAGCTTAGCAACACACTATTTTTCTTACATCGTGTAGGAAATTGAGCAAAATAATCATAAATGATTAGATTGCTTTATTTTGTAATATTGAATTGTCTTAAGTATGTGGTTTAATCGTAAATTTCATCATTGATAAATCTTATCTACCGTTGAAAGAATAGAACATTTTAAACTGATCTCACAAATATGAAATCAGTCCTTCCTGTGGGCGTTTCCCAGCTGTTTGACAAAAGCTTAGTTGGATTCATTTTGAATATCTCATTGATTGTGATACTACATTAACCTATGACTAAGTGAATAATATTGACAGGGAACATCTAGTCAGAATTAAATCCTTAATTTTTTTACTAAATATTTTACATCTCTAAATCCATATTACTACGTAATATGGATAATTTTAGAGACTTGTGTTTCTAAGTACTTTTCATCAAGAACTGATGTTACCAATACAAAGTGGAGAACCACCGAGAGCTAGAAAGCACTAACCTATTGTCTCATTTTATTTGGAGATTCCACAATGATGCGCAAACTCGATACTATACTGAATTGAATCCAGGACTACATGTTTTGACCAATATGATTCAATCAGCCGGAATATGATAGCCACTAAAGTGAGAAATAGCATCATGTACATCCCAATACCTGAGACCCTAGCACCCACGTTATGTAAAATTGTCAATAATGAAGACGTATAGACTAAGAGTAGCGGTCGGTTGCTCCTCGATTTTCAGCAATCTTTCAACTTACGACAGTTCATTATAAATACCATCTCCTTTTGCCAACCGTAAAAACTAACTACCCACTGTTTGTTTTCCATTTCAGATTCTAATTTCAATAGAATGCTTACTATCTCAAATATGCATATCAATTATACTCACGTTGGATAATATATACTATCTAAAGTATTAGATAATTGCATAGATAGTGTTGTAGAAGCTTTCGGTCCACTTCACTTTTTCCTGTTACTTAGACTTACAATAATCTTTAACCCTACCACTATTAATCAAAACTAAGAATTCACATACTACCCATTTTTTATTACTGATTCATTCCCTACTAACGATTAGATGATCATACTGAAATTTTGATAATTCTGTATGTACTTACTTCTTTTTTTCTGAATATATCATGTGGTTTTTTTATTTAAAAAAAAACGTAATACCAGAATTGCTTTACATTCCCCTTCAACTTTGTTTCTGATCATTTAAATCATCAGTCAGTTATAATGTTTACATTCTGATGGAATGTTAGTCCCAAACACTGAATCATTTTCTATATGCATATGTACTCAGTATAGTTTTTAAATTTTAACTGCACATGGTCACAATTACTATACTGATGCTGTTAATATATCTATTTCCAATAAAAAATGAATAAGTTCTGTTTGTGTTACTACAGTTGGGAATAAAGAATTACGATTGAATTTGTTATCTCGATAATTCTTTTGTCATCTGACATACAACGGAGTCATATAATAGTTATGGAAGGAGTTATATGTACATACTTATTCTTATCTCTGATCGTCAATGTGATTAAAACTAGTTGAGGTGTTTACTTACCAAATATTCAATAATACTAAGAGAACTCAATTAACAGTCATAGATCAATGGAAAATGCAGATTCTGAAGTTTAGAAACATAGATGTTGATGCTAACTCATATGATTCCAAAAGTGGCTTGTTCAATTTTGTAGACGCATTTCATTAAGGACTTTACTTACACTTAGTAATATGATGGCTAAAGCGTAAAAATATATAGATTATTAATGCGACTTATTTATCAACTTTGATCCATACTGTTTGCATGTGAAGGGTAGTGATACTAATACAGTTGTCAAAGCCAAAGTAAGCAAGGTCAAGTTTCGAACATGCAACCTATTGCTTGAGAGTAGAGTGATTTATTCCCTAAGCAATCAATCCACATTTTCCGGGGAATAAAAAGACCAATGCCATAGTTTTATCATTAAATAAAGTTCTCTTTGCAATCAAAGGTCATGTATTGTCATTTATTGTGGTTGCTGTCACTCAGTAGAATGTCGTATGAAGGAGAAGGAAAAGTACCTGATTTGAAAAGTGAAATATATACTGTAGCTTCGCTTATTTTTTACAACACTTTACTTGACCACATGGAAAAAAAACAATATACATAACAAAATTACACAATAGTAATAACATCAGTCAGTCATCGGTCATACTCAAGGTACATATATATGCACTGGAGTAATTACATTGATTGTAAATTAAGCATTCATCAAAATAAAGTGAATAAAACATGACCTCAAAATAACATATTTTACTTTAAAATAATCTCCAACGAAAAAAATGTCTTTTTTGCGAAATATTGAAAACCATTATCACATATGATTTCCATTAGTACTATTAACAATAGTACTAAGTAATATATTTTCTTGTAAGAATTGATAGGGAAACAACTATACATAAACAATAGTAACCAAAAGAGAGAGAGATAGAAAAAAAGACTAAAGTGAACAATTTTACATAAATCATCAGAATAAAGTTATCCTCTTGAAGCATTTGGTCCAGTTCTAATTAACTTATGCCCATTTTCAACTAATTCTGATAAAGTGACACGACCACATTTTTCAATATACTGAGCAACGGCTTCATATTCATCATTTGTAATATGAATAACTTTGCCTCGATCATCCAATACCCCAGTTAACCGACCAGAAGACATAAGTGCTTTGATGTTTTCTATACAAACCTTTATAAGAAAAATAAAATTACAGAATGCTAAATTCTAAAAAGGTTCATGATTATTTAGCTGTATGTTAATTACACTTACAGTGTCCAGGATTTATACATTCACGTAAAACTGCTATCAGCTTCATTATGCATGACTAGCGAGCTTAAGTTATTAAAATAAAACCCGTCATTTGAAACATAGTCATTTAGCTAACAAATTAACAAGAGAACTTTAAAATTTCTAAATATCCACTTACAATAGCCTAACCCTTCAAAACACACAATAAAGGTAATAACATATAACAATTTGAGAACTATATGACAAACTACAGTAAGCATATGAAAACCCATTCACTATTATATCAACTCTAGATGTAATCAAACATTTCTCAGAATAAAGATCTGTGGCAATCCTACATTAACTATTCGCCCTCTCGAAATGCTCTCACATGGCCACGCGAATATATAGCCTCTGCCAGGGAAGTCCTACTCACTGCCTTCTCGTGGCGGGGTGTTGTTTACGAAAGTGAGAGGACGAAATGGGAATGTCCGGTGCTTTAACCGGGTTGGTGGACAAGGAAAGTTCACCTAGGGGAGTTGGAAAACCCTGATTCCAAACCAATGGTGTACATGGGCTGGCTCCAGTATCCTGAGGGAACAAATGGCGTACGAATCAACCGTTGATCACCGGCTACCATGGGACTGCATCTCCTCACGATGCTCCACTGCCTTGTGGATCAGACATTCAGGTCAAAGGCTCCGGGTGTGGCCCCCTAAGAAAACCACCTGCTTCAGTCTGGGCACCTGGGCAGTATCTCAGCCCTCACACAAATCGAATGAGATTTGTGAGGCGCATGTTTATCTGGTGCTTCCTTGTACCAATATTTATGTGTTTAAATAAAAATAAATAACTATCCGCCATATTTTTTTAAACAATGAAATGCATAGTTTGACTGAATAAAATCTGTTTTATTTGCATCTAAACTATTGACATTATTTTAGGGGTTTATATTTTCGCATTTTTTATATTTAGAACTGTGACTGATCAGGCTTTATTGGCCATCATTAGCCGATTGACACAACATTGTCATAGTTAAAAGTTTTGGTAAGATCAATAGCCGAAATCTAACTTTAGTGGAGATATATTCAACATAGTTAATGAGAAGGAAGAGAACTACAAAGGACAGTTGATTACATATTAAGTGATTTTTAGAATTAAGTCGAAAAGGGATGACTGATTCCAAGTCCTTTACTACAAAGATTTTCTGATTCTTAATAATGTAATTCATCGAGTACAAATCCGTGTACTTGACTTTAAGTCATACTTTCAGCGTAAAGGTTAACGATGTTACATAATTAGCTTGACTGAAGTACATGAAACAGGGTTCGAAACTAAGAATTAATGAGTAAAACCTTACTGTACCAACCACTAAGCGGGCGATTCTCAAAAAATAAAGTCGATTTCAACAGTATTCCATAAGGAAAAAAATATACCTCCGTTTTCAAATTTAAATTGATTGCCAAATGTTCGACTGGAATAATTTTTGCTTCTTCGATAGCTGCAATAATTTGTGTATTAATTAATGCTTTTGCTTTGTCATCTTGTTGTTGTGCATCTAATCCCTCTTCTTCAATACTAAACTCTTGTTTTAAGCGCTCGTATTCAGCTTGTTCACGAGCTGCTTCTTCTTCACGACGTTTAGCCTCAGCAGCAGCCTATAGTTGAGAGTAAATTTTGTGTAAGAATGTTAAATACTATCACAAAATGTGATAAAAATTAAACAACAGCTTAAAATTATGAATGATAATAGAAAACTTATATTCTACGAATACATACTTGACTATTATTGAGCAATCAAAACAATTTTGTGTACATGAGTTAAGGAAACACAATACAGTTGGTTAACATAAATTTACTTTTAACTTTTTAGCACAATTAACTTTCAGCTTCAAGGTCATAGGTTATACTAAAGTGGTTAATGACCAACTGGATCACCTATGCCTCCATAATTTGTCTGTTTATTTACACAGTCGGGTCAAAGATCTAGCATGTCTTCTTAATTTCCTTCCGATATAACTATCACTGAGGTTTGACATAACACTCATTGAAGCTGAAGTAAAATTTTACATTCAGAATGATATTCCAATGTTTCTGACAATGAAATTCTTCAACAAAGTTAAAATGACCATTTTACGAATTAGAACTACAGAATAGATCAGAAGCATCATGAAGCTTTTCGTTCTAACTTCTGAAATTTCTTTTTATAATACTTGTGTGGTGATTTTACTGTCTAGAGTATCGTTCACGCGTTACCAACGTATAATGAAAAATTAACGAAGAAAGAATACACCAACTAGTTTTTAGTCGTGACACAATGCGAATATGTATTTTTCACAGCATGACTATAATGTCAATCGGGGAGCAGTGCTGCATATTGACATTACAATCTCACAATTGATTATGAAGATAATATCAAATGGTTAAAGGAGAACAGAGTAATTCTAGTATTCTTCCTTTAATTCACTCATTAGTCAACTGCGAAGTTGTAATATTAATACGTGCCAGTACCATTTCATTAGTATTACATCATCCCCACAAGACATGTATCGATGTAAATTAGGAGTAAGAAACTTGTTAAAAAGAAACACTGATTCAATTTATTTGCTTTTTATCAAGTCAATAAAGAGATATTAGAATCGTTTCCAAAATATTAGGCGATGACTGGCTGGAACGAGTATTATAACTACATAGTTTTTAATCAATGTAACCAAAATTATTAGGGACTCATGTGAAAATAATAAATAGAATTACGAAAGTATCATCAGCCTCATTTTTGACTGTTCGCTACACACATGGACAAAAAATTATTTATAATTCACTAGCATGGATTTTAGAAGTTAATAAATGGTGTAAAGGCTTGCTGAGAGTGTTAAAGTAATGAACCATGCTGATCAAAATGGCACAAGACACTGACATTGTCATTATAAGGTGTACAATAACCGTATCCATATATGCTAAACAAAAATTCATACTAATATTTACTAGCAGTGTAAGAAAACGGACAATAGTTTATAAAAACCACGTATTCATACTGACTACCTAATTAGACGAAACCGTAACAGGATATATTAGGCACGACAGAAGTTCTACTTTTATTTAAAATATGGTACAGCTGGAGGTCAAAAATAGTGTACTTCACACAAAATAAAATTTGTTTGTATGCAGTGACACTGTTCAGGCACTTAAATCGAAGGTGAGGTTTTTTGGGAGGCTGCTCCCCAAGCCTTTAACTTAAAGGTCTCGAAATAGAACGCTAAATGTGGTGGTATGATGACCAGTGACTGAAATTTGGTTCTTACCCTATCTGTCCCCTTAGCATGCCGGAACCGATGTACGCCAATGGTTTGAAATTGGGATTCCTTAGTTCCTCGTATGTGTATTCTCTGTATCTACCAACTATATCCAAGCACTGGGTGCTAGCCTTCCATTCCGTCACTTTCGTAATGCCTTCAATTGGATTCGGACTCTTAGTAACCTGAGGCGCCAAAACATTTGAGAGTCACATGACATAAACGCTGATCCCTAATAAAATTGCTTGAACCCTTAAAAATTTGTTCAAGCGTATTTTCTGAAAATAGTATAATCTTTTTGCGAAATATTCAGAGGTTACATTAAGCAAACAATACGATAACTACAGCTAAATTTTGCGTCTCCAACAAAAAATTGAATGAAGATAGTTAGTAGACACGAATGTTAATATGTGAACATGGAAAATAACTTACTGCCGCGGCTGCAGCTTTTTCTTCTGCTTCTTCTGCTTTCTTACGTTTTTCAATTTCCATGTCTTCGATTTTCCTTTGATGCTCCCGGTAACGTTCCTCAGCTTCTCGCTCTTCTTTCCGACGTTCCTTTTCAGCTAACTTGGCAGCTTTTTTGGAGCCAACTTTCTTTGAACTTTCTTTTGATTGATCTGCATCTGAAGACCGGGTGTCTAGATTTTCCATGACATTTTCAACACGCCTATCGTCCTCCTCAGATTCTGAAGCATCTCTCATCCGAGCGGCCATACGGCGCTGTCCACCAACATTTCCAATGCGGCGACGCACTCTGCCAGCAGCAGTTGCATGAACGTGGGGGCGCTGTCCACCTTAAAGGGGAAAATATTTTTAATTAAGACAATTACGTACCAGAGAACA